AACTAATTATGCTTATGGAGCAGCTGTTAAATTTAGTGCAACTAATTTTATCCAATATTTTACATTTTAATTGATTACCTGTGAAGAAATTAGCAAATTAACACTTATTGTGCAGTAACTGAATGGGCTTTTATGGAGACTTTCAATTTTTACAAGCGGCCCGGGTGCTGATGGAATAAAGCCATTTCTTAGGGCTGGAGATGGGGAACTTATTGGTGAGCCTTGATTATCTGGTGTGAGAATTTAGGGATCCCGAGTGATGCCAAGCATCTGTGTGTTCTGCAACTTAGACATGAAAAGCAGATTGGAAAGTAATGGCTTTTCACAGAATTTTGGGAACATATGGGCTTATCTGGATCTAAGAACCCTTTGAAGATCTTTGAACTTGACTAAATGACTTAACCTTTGGCATGGTGGGTGGGTGTTCTGGGTGTTGTTGGGGGGAAGGGGATCCATGCTGCAAATCTCCTCTGCAGCTTCATTTTTTGGTGGTGGGTTTTTTTCCCCCCCCCTCTGGTAGTTCCATAATTTGAACATTTGGGGTCTTGCTTTAATAGGACTAATTGTGATTCTTGTTATTTTTCAACAGCAGATAAAATAGAAAATCTGTCTGCTCTGCCAGATCTGTGGCCTTTTGTTGTGGTTTGGTGGTGAGCTGGGGACGCAGATGACTTTTGGGAGCTCCATTTCAGGAAGTTTTATCTTGATTTCCTGTCCTGTAGATCTTGCAAGATACTTTAATAGGAATTAAGGATCAGTACAGAGAGACTCTTCCCAAGGCCATGGAGTGATGGGATATGTGGGAATGGCCTGGAGCTGGTGGAGGGGAGGTTTAGATGGGATTTTGGGGAGGAATTCATCCCTGTGAGGGTGGTGGGACACAGGGAGGCACAGGGACACCCTCCACTGTCCCAAGGAGCTCCAATCCCTGCCTTGGACACTGCCAGGGATGGGGAAATTTGATGCAATAATTCTTTTTATTTTTAAAAGCTGTTTCCTGGATGTAAATGTCACCTGCACAGACATGGGAATGAGCAGAAATCCAGTTATTGAGCATCCAGCCTTCCTGAGCTGAACTTGTTATTTGCACCTGCAAAAGGTAGAGCTGAACTCCAGTTCAGATTTGAGCTGAGAAACTGGAATTCTTTAGCAATAAATATTTTAGATTCCTGTTATTCCTGGTGGAGGACTTGCCATTAAGTGAGGAGAGGCCCTGCATCAATTAAGGGTGATTTGTGTTGCTACAGGGCTTTGTTTGTTAGGGGTTTATTTTCTGTTTTGGACTTACCTGCAGTTCTGAGAAACCAGGGTTACCTGGGAATAGTGGATGTAGGGCAGTGCTGTGTTAATCTGTGCTGCCTCATCATGATGTTTGTACAAACAGTGTCTCTGTGCCAAACAAAAATTAGATGTAATATCCAGAACTCTCTTTCGAGTCAAAACTTCTTCTGCCTGAGGAGTAAGGATGAATGGATGGACGGACACTCTTACATTTGTGATGACACACTAAAAATCCAATTTGTGCCAGCAAATGCTCTCCACTTAAGAATCCAGCAGGGCAGTGGTAATTTGATCTATTTCTGAGTGTTAATAGAGTGACCAGGATGGGAGAGCTGCTGCTGGAAGGTACCAGCTGCTGAAACAGGAACCCAGCCCTGACCTCTGGAGCTGCTCCTGGCAGGAACAGGGACCTGAACTCCCATGTGCTGGACAAATTCCAGAAATGTAATTTATAGCCTCATCTGGATGGAGGATTTTCTTTTGCTTAGTCTATTGTTGAGTTTTATTAAGCAGTTGTTGTTTCATAAAAGGAAGGATTTTGCCTGTGTGATTTGGCTTTTAAAGGCTTTGGGAGTTTTGCACTCCAAGAGGTGCTAAAGGAACTTTTAATGCTGTTTTTAAAATTCTCCTATTTCCTTCAGTACTTGATGAAACTTTTCCATGAGGTGCCATCAGAATTGAATCATGGGATGGGTTGGGTTGGGAAGGACCTTAAAGCCCATTTCATTCCATCCCTGCCCTGGGAGGGACACATTCCAAAGGCCAGGGTGCTCAGGTAAGAGAAACCAAGGAAAACTTGACCTGATTTTTCCCAAATATCCCTTGTCCACTCAGGTAGCATTGATCTGTGACAAATTATTAAATAAAACTTTAAAAATCTTCTACAAGAAATTCAGGAATAATGAAATAATTTTGGACACACAAAGAACCAGCCCTAATACTTCTGGATCTTTTTTTCCATTTTGTTAATGGATGAATCCATTGTTTGTTTTAAGTTATTTTGCATCTCTTTTCAGAGCAGGAGCAATGTTTTCTGTTTCACTTATTTTGCTAAATTGTCAGTTTAAAGGCATTAAATTGTGACCTGTGCTAGATTATTAAATGTATTTATTAAATGTATTGAAATTAGGCAATATAACTATAACAAGGCTGGGGTGGAGTCCTGGTGAGAAATGGCTAATTTCTAATTGTGAGGTAGGGCAGTAAGGTCTCTGAGATTTTCACTCTAGACCTTTAAGGCATTTAAAGTGTTTGTGTTCAGGGCTCAGTAGCCAAAAGCTTCCAAAACCTGGAGATGAAACCCTTGGTAGCAAACCAAGCCTGCTGATGTCAGATGTCTGACTTCACTCACTGTGGTTTTTGGAGAAAAATAGTTATCTAGATATCTCTGTGGAGGAAGGCAGAGGAATTGGTGGTGTTTTGTTAGGCTAATTTGGTATTTTACACTATGGAGATCCTTTTTGTCTGCCTAGAAGCAGCTTCTTCTTTCTCTGGTGAAGGAGAACGTTCCTTCACTACCTGGGTGCTTCCCACAAGAGTTTTGGTGGCTCCTCTTCTGCTTGTTTAGATAATCCAATAGATGCTGCAAAAGATTTAACCTGTTTTAATCAGAATCTCTTCCCCAGTTGCTTTGGGGTAATTTTTTCCTGTCAGTCTATCTAATTCCTTCAGTTTTAGCTTTATATTTTCCAGATTCTTTACTGAAATAAAACGGTGCATAACTCTGAACCGCACGCACAGTGCCAGCAGCTCCCCTCACAGCTCAGGCACACAGAACAATCCCTGTCCTGCCCAGAACCAAGGACACCGAGGCTGCAGCTTCAGCCCAAACAGTGCAAACAGCACAGGATGGAGGGGGGAAACTGGGAGGGTGGGACTGCACACCCTGGAGATGGAATCGGACAGTGAACCCAATGTGGAAAAGGACAAAAACTTATAAAAATGTGAGAACTTGTGACTTGGGGTCCATCTTGGGTCTATTTTGGGTGTAGCCTTGGTCAGGCTCTTGTGCTGCCCAAGGTGTATCCTTTGAAGGCATTTTAATAAATCCCTGTTTGATTCCTTTAACTCTGCCCAGCCTCTGTTCCAGGCAGTCTCTATAGGCATCAGTCTCCATCCCTGGATGTGTTTAAAAGCAGACTGGATGTGGCCCTCACTGCCAGGTTTAGTTGGGGTGTTAGGGCTGGGTTGGACTCAATGATCTCGGAGTGTTGGAGCCCTGATTGCTGAGAATTTTGGATTTCTGTGCTGCCCGGCACTGACCCCCAAGAGAGCACTGCACTGACCTGAGGCCATGGAGAAGCTTCCAAAATGAAATGATGGAACTGGGATTGTGGGTGGGGAGTTTGAATGAAGTGTGTGATATCACAGGGTGGGAAACTCAGAGTTTGGGGTTTTAGAATACAGTAATAGATATAAAGCAAGATGGAGGTTTTAGGGTGGAGACTGGTCCTCCTTCTTCTTTAGGAGTTTGGGTGGTATTTTGTAATTGGACAGAAAAGTCAGCATTGCAGACTTTGAGTGATCAGTTACTGGGTTCAAAGTAAATAATTTAGGTGTAATTTCTTAATTGGATAGTTTAGCCTTGAAATACCTTGTGTAGAAAGATAGTTAGCTCTTTTGTGGCATGTTAATGGGAGAACCCCCAGTGGGTCCCTGTGTTACTTCAAAGTAACTGTGTCCTCTGCAGGCCAGGGTTGTCCAGTTCTTGTAGAAGTACAGCATGCCCTTGTTCTGCCAGGAATTCTTCTCCACCTGATGTCTCTGTGGCTGTGCAGGTTGCGGGCACGGCAGCGCTCCTACAGCCGCAGCAGCGAGAGGTCTGGCCACAGGGCTGGGTCCCTGTGTTACTTCAAATTAATTCTCATCTGCAGGCCAGGGTTGTCCTGTTCCTGTAAGAGTAGGGCATGTCCTTGTTCTGCCCAGAACTCTTCCCCACCTGGTGTCTGTGTGTCCCTGCAGGTCACGGTCACAGCAGCGCTCCTACAGCCGCAGCAGTGAGAGGTTCTGCCACATGGCTGGGTCCCGGTGTTCCTTCAAAGTAACCGTGTCACCTGCAGGCCAGGGTTGTCCAGTCCTTGTAGGAGTAGGGCATGTCCTTGTTCTGTCAGGAACCCTTCCCCACCTGGTGTCTGTGTGTCCCTGTAGGTCGCGGGCACGGCAGCGCTCCTACAGCCGCAGCAGTGAGAGGTTCTGCCACAGGGCTGGGTCCCGGTGTTCCTTCAAAGTAACTCTGCAATCTACAGACCAGGGCTGTCCAATTCCTGTAAGAGTAGGGCATGTCCTTGTTCTGCCAAGATCCTTCTCCACACGGTGTGTGTTTGTCCCTGCAGGTCGCGGTCGTGGTCGCAGCAGCGCTTCTACAGCTGCAGCAGCGAGAGGTTCTGCCACAGGGCCAGGTCCCTGTGTTCCTTCAAAGTAAATGTGTCACCTGCAGGCCAGGGTTTTCCAGCTCTTGTAGAAGTACAGCATGCCCTTGTTCTGTCAGGAATTCTTTTCCAGCTGATGTCTCTGTGGTTGTGCAGGTCGCGGGCACGGCAGCGCTCCTACGGCCGCAGCAGCGAGAGGTCCGGCCACAGGAGAACCCACAGCGGCTCTCTGTGTTCCTTCAAAGTAACTCTGTCACCTGCAGGCCAGGATTGTCCAATTCCTGTAGGAGTACAGCGTGCCCTTGTTCTGTCAGGAATTCTTTTCCAGCTGGTGTGTGTGTGTCCCCGCAGGTCGCGGTCGCGGGCACGGCAGCGCTCCTACAGCCGCAGCAGCGAGAGGTCCGGCCACAGGAGAACGCCCAGCGGGTCCCGGGAGCGCCGCAAGGGCAGGGACAAGGACAAGGACAAAGCCAAGGACAAGGGCAAAGGGAAGGAGAAGGAGATCCACGGCACCAAGGCTGGGTGAGTGAAACGGCAAGTGATAGAGCTGGAGCAAAACCGGGCAGCAAGACCATGTCCTTTTACTCTTGTGATAATCTTCCTTTAAATTGTATTTTATATCAGCTAAGTTTATGTAAATGTAGAATATTTGAAAGGTGGGGAGTTATTCAGACAGTTTGGAGGGTGGGGTTTGTTGGGTTTTACAGTTCTGCAGTGTGGTAATGTTTCACACTAAGCGATGGTTTCGTTTTCTACACTTTCCCTCCCAGCTTGGTTTCAGGTGGATTAAAGAGCTGCGATTTGTTAATATAAACATTCTTCCCATATGTAATAGCCATGATATAGGGGAAAATGAGGAATATTGGAAAGCATGAGGGCTTCTTCCTCGGAGAAGGTGGGCTTCACTGTTCACACACACCTACACCTCCTCCCAGAGGCAGGAGTTCCTCTGGGCTGTGGTTGAGGCTCAGAAATGCAGTTCCAGCACAAGCCTTGCTCTGGGTGAATGATGGGAACCCTTGAGAACCTGCTGTAGTTGAATTTCTGCTTGGAATAACTTGGGTTGTTGATGACAGATTGCAGGAAAGACAATGTAATTTTTTTATATTTTATGTAATTTACGTAATTCCTCTGCTTTATGCATCATGATCTGATGCAGCCTTTCCTGGGCTGTTTGCTTTTCCCTCTTTGTCAGATCCCTTCCAAAAAAACCCAAAACACTGAGGTGTCACTTCATGACCTTCCCTTGGATGGTTTCCCACTGAAAATGCTCCTGGGGAATTTCTGGAGCAACATCTTCCACCCACATGTGGGCTTCCGTTGGCTTCTGGAATTCTCCCTTTGTTCCCTGCGGCAGCAGGAAAATTCCTGGTTAAGTTGGATCCGGTTTGGACTCTCCAAGCAGATTTAATTTCTAGACCCAGAGTCTGGAAAGTCTCATTATTCTACAGAGCCCTTCCAGAACCTCCAGCATCAGGGAATCCCTGGTGGAAACCATCCTGTGGCCTCAGTATTTGAGCAGATCCTTCCTCAAAGGCACCTCAAGGACCAGGTCTGGTTCCCAGTTTAAATTCATGGTTGTTTGCAATGTATTTATTCAAAATAGCTGCTTTGGAGCTGTAATGAAGATCAGCCTGAAGCCAGATTGTGGGAAGAAGGGACATAAATTCTCAGGTGCTGCTTGACTTTATAGTTTAACTTTGCATAAAAGGAGGTATTTCAGCTTGGCAGCACTGCAGCTTATCTGAGAGATGTTGTATATTTGGGGCTTTACTGCTCCTCTAAAGCACAGAATCAAAATGCTCTTTTTTCACTAATTAAGCAGCAAATTTGTTTGTGGCTCCTGTGAGCCCTAATGATGATTTTCTGTCCTTGGCTTGGCTGTGTTTGTAGATGTGAGGGGGAAAGGTCTGTGCTTGGGGCTTTTTGGGGGCAACTTTAGGTTCTTTCAAGGGAGATCTTGTCACAGTAAACATCTCAAGAGAAACTTCAAGAGGAAAAAAAACTAAAATTAGTTTAAAAACAGTGTTCTGGACATTGTCCTTTGGCATTCCCCATTTCAGTGATGATTATCTAACGTTGAGCACTGAACTTCTGGAGTGCTGGAGAAGTACCAGATGTTCATGAGCTGGGCTGTGAGACAGCTCAGCTCTTCTCCTTTACACCCTGAAATGTTTTAAGGGATGTTCCACTTGTCCAGCCATGATGGAGGGAAATCCTGGGAATGTGGGGAGCTCCAGGGAGTTCCCTCCAGCCCCAAATCCCACATTTAGACCAGCAGCATCTACATGCAGGAAGCCCTCAGCTGTCCAAGTCTGCACAAGTGAGGGGTTTTACAGCACTACAATGTTTTCCCACTATTTCTTGTACTAATCAAAGCATTACATTCATCTTTTATTTATGCTTTTTGAAATTCTCTTGTTTTAAAACAACCTGCATGCATGTCTTCATTGACCTGGTTGGGTGTGCTGTTGAATTTTGATGTTTTGAGTCTTGATCAGCTTCAAAACATGCAAATTCTGTTGTTCTGAGATGTGTTTTTCATAAGGCTCCTTGCTCATTGTTAAATTGGGGGGCAAAGCTACTAAAAGCTTATTAGTTTTATATAAGTTTTTTCTAGATTTATGGGTCTTGTAGTTTCTTGTGTACTGGTGGAATTTGGGATTACTTCTCCGAGTGATTTTGACAATTTTTAATGGAATAAATTAAGAGCAGCTCAGTTGTTAAGAGAAAAGAAGTGGTGAACCATTAATCAAACCTGACCACTGGTTTAATTGCTGATCCTTAATTAAGGTTGTTGATACATTTGGGCACTAATGGTTTCACAGCTTCCTAAATACTTTGACAGATCTCAGAATCCTGGAATGGTTTGGGCTGGACCATCCTTAAATCCCATCTCATTCCAGCTCCTGCCATGGCAGGGCCACCTTCCATGGACCAGGCTGCTCCAGGTGGCCCTGGGCACTGCCAGGGATCCAGGGGCAGCCACAGCTGCTCTGGGCACCTGTGCCAGCCCCTTCCCTCTGTCCCAGGGAACAATTCCTTCCCCAAATCCCATCCATCCCTTCCCCTGGCAGTGGGAGCCACTCCCTGGGTCCTGTCAGTATTCCAGAGCTGAGGAGCTCCTTGTTCCAACACAATCTCCATTTTTCCTGTCAGTTCCACACTTCAGGGCTCTGAGGTTTCACTGAGGTCCCCCAGTCTGGGGGCCATTTTCCAGTGGCATTTCCTGCAATGCCCTGGAGTGGATCCATGCCCAGTGCCCATGGATGGCACGTGGGTCATTGATGGCTGCTGATGAGATTTTTGCTGTTTGGAGAAACATCAGGAGTAAAGTGGCAACATTGGACTTTCCCGAGTCAGACTCTCCTGGAGCTTGGCACAGGATTATTTCCCCCTTCCTTCTTCCCAGCCAGTGCAGTAGGAAGTCATTTATGGTAATTGGCCCTGATTTGCATATAGGTGATGGAGTTGTGTGGGGCAGAGCACCCCAGAAGTGCTGGGAAGCTGTGCTGGGATCAAAGGGGCTGTGCAGGAGCTGTTGCCTGACACCGGGCTGGGGGTGTTGTTGGCATTAAACATTCATCACCCTCCCAGCCTGCCAGCAGGAATTCTGGGCTGGGCTGACATGTTTTCATGCAAAATTTATTGGGCAAGACGAGGGTTGTAAAGAGAGATCTGGCTGCCTTGCACCAGCAGCAGAGGGGGAATGCTTGACTGGGAGGGAGGATTCCTCTGGCACGTTTGGGGCCTGTGTTACACCAGAGCTGAGGGGTTGGGAAGGCTGATTGTCTCTCCAAGACCTTTTCCTCAAAATCTGACCTGCCAAAATCCATTTCTCAAGGAGCAGAAACGTGCAAACACAAATTGATGTTCAGGGTGCTACAAGGCTTGGTTAATTTGCACTGCTCAGGTCTCAGATTCAGGACTTCTTGTTGGTTGTTTCAATTCTCTTTGGAGTTTATTTCAAAGAGGTTTATGAAGAAAATATAAAGTACTTTGTGTTTGGTTTGTAGCTCAGGAGTCCAGAAGGAAAATGCATTCATTTTGGAAGTTTTGATCCCAAATAGAATAAATAAGGATTGCTGCTGGGCTGGAACCTTGCATGCCATGGTTCAACCTTGATCAAATTCTTGTTGTTGAGTTGTAAACATCCTAGAGGAGGTGCTTCCAGGAAAATGGAAATGGGCAGCAGAAATGGGCTGCTGGGAATTGTAGAGTCTGGCCAAAAATCCCTCTTAAACATGGACGTTCCTAGAAAAACTGGAGAACTTCTATAAATCTGTTTAAAATTAGCAACTGCATTTTGAATGCTGAAACCAAACTACTCCATCCTGTGGTGGAAAGTAGTTTGAATGCTTATAGGAGAAATATCTTTTGGCAGAGGGGAAAACCATTTCCTTAATCCAGGCAGGTTTATTTTCAGTGTCTGGGCTAAATTATGAGGACTTTGAGAAGTGCTTCCAGTAAAGTTTTAAGATGCTTGGTAGGACTCCTTGGCTCCAGTGATTTCCTTTGGTAGCTTCTTGAAGAACAGCTTCTAAAATTGAATGAGCTTGAGCCCCTTTGTCCAGCCTGGGATACTCCAGTGGCTGCCGGGCGCTTCCTTGGACTCAAAGTGGATTTTCCAGGATCTTTATGATGGCAAGGGAGTCACTTATCCACAGTAAAACCAAAATGCCTCTTCTATTGATTAATTAATAATTTATTCTTACTCCTTTTGCCTTTCTCTCTACCTCCAGCCTGCAGGCAAAGCCCAAGCACGAGGTGACCGGAGCAGGTAATGAAGAAGTCACCAGAAGAGTGTCTCTGGGTGACTCAGAGCAGAAAGATGGAATCCCTTGCCCTGTCAGGATCTGTGCTTGCTGATGGAACAGGAGCTGAGCAGTTTGGGCTGGTCCCTGCAGTGTCCATGGGAGGGATCCAGGGAGCACCCAGGGAACCCCTGGGCGTGTTTGGGGTGATGGGTGAGATCTGAGCTCTGCTGGGAGGCAGAGGAAGCAGCTGAGAGGCCAGACCAGGACAGTTTCCTGCCAGTAAGTCAGCCAAAGGCTAATGGGAAGCAGAGGAAGGGTTTTCTCTGAAAAGGGCTGAGACCTCCATATGCCCAGAGCAGCTCGAGGGTCACTTGCCTTTGACCGAGATTTGTTGCTATTGTTGTCTAAGCTGTGTTGGCCTTGTTTTTCTTTTTGTTTGCTAAAAATCCTCTTTTAGGACTCAAAAGACTGGCCATTTATTTAATGGGCAGCAGCATATGGGATGATTTCTTTCCCTTTCACTCCCAGACAGCTGGAAAAGCCAGCGTGGATGGGACACGTGTGTGAGCTGTGGAGCAAAACTGTGCAGGAGATGCTGGGGAACCACTGGCTCTGGAAAATAAATAGATTTTAGTTCAGAGTAAACATTTCATTTTCATTCATTAAGTACTTTTTGTGCTAAGTACAGAAATCTAAGTTTTGTGTTCAGATTCTGTAGTTCAGACTGTCAGTTAGTGATGGCTGTCAAATGAGCTTTCCTGCTAA